GGGAATTTCCCATCTCTGGAGATCTGGATGTGGTTCAGGCTTCCACCTATAGTCTTATGTATTGCAGAGGCTCCGCAGGAAGCCTCCTTCACTGGGCATGTTGTAGCCCCATTTTAGGTATTCCAATCAGTTATAGGCAGAAGACGGACTTACAAGCTTTCTATGGTGATGCTTCTCTTTATCTTTGATTTTACTTATTTTGTTGTTGTTGAGAATATACACAGTAAAGCATACACCAGTTCATCAGTTCCTACAGGTACCATTCAGTGACATTGATTGCATTCTTTGAATTGTGTAAGCATTCTCTCTCACCCTCTTCTTCTGCATGATTTCTTCCCCATTGACATACCTTAAGGTTCCTATGCTGAAACATAAAACACACATCATATGTAAAATTAACACTGACTACATTCTTTGAGTTGTGTAACCATTCTTCCTCTCTTCTCCTGAGTGATTTCTCCTCCATTAATGTACTGTAAGGTTCTTATGCTGAAACAAACTGCATGTGCGGTAGCCTATAAATAGTAACAGACACAAAACTTATGCTTGAGACAGTTAGCACTCAGTCGGGTTTACATGTGTTTTGAGCACACACTAAATCCATCTTTGAGAATTGTATGAACATGCCTCCATGAATAACACCTTTACCACGAGACCAGGACTACATGGTACCTGGTTGTCACTAGAGAGCATTCTGATCAGTCTGTGGAAGAATCCTGACCAAAAAGAAGAAAACGAAGAGCAGAATTTTAGCTTATCATGGAATCCAATCTTCTTGGAGCCGTGATGGTTGGATGGACCCCCTGAAACTTTGCCCTGAGATAATGTTTCACATTTCCTCTGAAGTCTTCTTAAAACCAAATCGTAGTGAAGCTTAACTAGTAAAAACAACAAAAAACAGTCTGCCTTCGATGGAGCAGTTGGAGACTTTAGAACCAGAGAGGGAGAGCGACTGTATACTGAAGACCTGGGGGATAAGGGGGAAGGATTGCATGGAAGGGATTGTAACCATGGCAATGAGATGATATATGATAGAATGAATGTAAAACTAATGTTCTCCCATGTAAAGTATCACATAATTCACAATAAAACATTTAAGAAAAAAAACAGTCTGCCTTGAGTACTATGCTGTTTTAAGAGCTATCTGTGGGATCAGATTAACTACAGCAATATGAAAGACTAAATGTGAACTCTGTGGTTGTTCGATGCCAGCGAGTTGGCACAACAGAATGAAACACTGCCTCTTCTTGTGTCAGGACCAACTTGATGGCACCTAACAACTACAAGGTTCCTATGTAGTCTTTCAAGTTGCTCTTGTCAATTGGATCCCACATACATAGTTCTTAAAAGAGCACAGTGCTCAAAGCAGACTTTTTTTTTTTTTAAGCTAAACTATTATTTGGTTTTAAGACGATTTTAAGGAATATTTTTGGTTTTCAGTTTTAAAGACTATCTCATATCTCAGGGCAGCAGTTTCATGGCTCCAGGAAGTGTGGGTTCCATGATGCTAGTCAGGTACTCTGTAGTTCTGGTCCCACGACAGAGGCATGTTTCAACAGTTCTTAAAAGATGGCTTCTCAAAGCACGTTTATACCAGATTGAGTATTAATATTAATATCTCAGGGCTAAGGTTTTTGGTTTTAAGTTTTTATTGTGAATTGAGTGATAGTTTGAATGGGAAAACATCGGTTTCACACTCACCGTTTCATTGCAATGATTACAATCTCCTCTGTGCATAGTCATTCAACAGTATTTGCTTCTATTCCCTTGGATTTTTTTTTTTTTTTTTTTGGTGGGGGAGGGTGTGGTGGAGGTGAATATACACCAAAACACTCAGGACTATATAATCCTTTAATTAAACAACCAAAGGACACATTCTGCAAGCCAGCCTCCTTGCCGCCAGCACACAGCTTTTCTCTTTCCATGAATCTAGAGTCCTCAGCTGCTCCCTTTCTCCATGTCATCATCTCTGCCTCTATCTCTGGTGTCGCTGCTTCTCTGGATAGGGTCCCACATTCCGCTCATGCTCTTCTCCCTTGATGGTCCTAGGGTTCTGTGTTTCTGGACTGTAAGGTTAACTGCTCCCTATTTTTGTTAACAAAACTTCTACCTTTACAATTGTGACAGTCGCAGTTAGTCATGATGACAATTACTCACTATTGAATCGTAAGAATCTTATCCCCATTTCCCTTCACCAGGCTCATCTAGACAAGATGAAAACTATTCAATGGGGATTCTGCCTTCCCCTGCATACTCTTACACTAAACTCCCTCTTGAAAACTTGTAAGCCAGTCACTTTGTGCTTTTATAGCCCCCCATTTTAGGTAGCCAATGTCTAAGTTGCCCATCCCCATCAACCCTGTATATAGAGGGGATAGGATTGATAGCGAGCCCAAGTTTTTGTGTCTACTAAGTTTATAGCACATATATTTTATATTTCAGCGTAAGACTACGAATGTAAAAAGCAGTGTTAAGTTTTTTGTCCTCATGGTTGTTTCTTTCCTCGGTAAGGGTATATCAAAAACACAGAGAAGTTGAACTACGGGAAAGAGCATCAGTACAAACTGACAGTCACTGCCTATGATTGTGGGAAGAAAAGAGCCACCGAAGATGTTTTGGTAAAGATCAACATCAAACCCACATGCAGCCCAGGGTGGCAAGGTGAGCACCATTCTGTTTTCTGGTTCCATAGCTGTTATAAGAATTTATATGCCACAGAAACCTAAAATGTGAGTTTTTCTTCTTTTCTCCACCCCAATTTGTGGGCAATACAGGATGGAACAATAGGATTGAATATGAACCTGGCACCGGTGCTTTGGTCCTCTTCCCCAGCGTCAATCTAGAGACTTGTGACGAGCCCATTGCCTCTGTCCAGGCCACAGTGGAACTGGAGACCAGTCATATAGGGAAAGGCTGTGACCGAGACACCTACTCTGAGAAATCCCTTCACCAGCTCTGTGGTAAGGAGACCCTGAGCCACTCAGTCTCCCGTGCAGGCAGGAGACACACACTCATGCCAAGTGGTCAGCGGAGTTTGTGTGCATGGGTAGTTCGTCATGATCAGAAAGAACAGAGGCTCTTTGAAGCTATGATATCACTGTCACTGTCCTGCTGCGAATCTTCAGACGGGTTGGGCTTCAGGGTTACATAAATCCCTAAAAACTGTCTAAAATGTTAGGTATATGTACATTTTTCTCCGGGGAGAGTGCCATAAATTTCAGCATATTCTTCTAGAGGTCTCTGAACAGTTAAATGCTTGGGTCCTAATTCTGAAGGTCAGCAGTTCAAACCAAATCAGCTGTTCCATGGGAGGAAAGATGACAGCCTAGGAGACCCTGTGGGGCTGCACTGCTCTGTCACATGGGATCAGTCGTTCTGAGTCGAAATGAACTCGACAGCACACAACAACAAATGACCCTCCCCTCTACCCCCAAATTAAGAACCACTGATTTGAAGAAAGTAAATAGTCCTCTAAGGTACTGTGCAAGTCATGACGGAGTACTACACAGCATGGATGAACACCTCACAGCACGGATGAACCTGGAGGACAGTGTTGTTGGTTGTTAGTGCCATTCAGCCGATTCTGACTCATAGTGACCCTGTGTAGGGTTTTCGAGGAGTAGCTGATGTATTTGAACCTACATTTTGGTTAGCAGTCCAGTGCTTATCCTTCAGCGCCACACCAGGACTCCATGGAAGACATTATTCTCAGTGAAATTAGTTAATTCATAAAATGACAAATATTGTATGAGACCACTGTTGTAAAAAGTTAAGGTTTTCTTGCTAAAAGAAACATTCTATGATGCTTACTGTCGGCGGTGGGTGAGAGAGGGAAGGGAAAATTATTCAGGGGTAGAGGGTAGAAACATGTTAACATAGGTGACAGAACAGGCAATATACAACAAGAGGGAGGTCTGCAAAGGAAAGACGAAGGTAACCAGAGACACAAGGAGGAATGCAAGAGCATTAAAGTGAATAGAGGTGAATACTATTAACTGATGAAAGAGATTATAGTCATTGTAATGAAACAAAGTATATGATTTGGTGAACGTAAAATTGATGATCTGCACTGTAAACCTTCACTCAAATCATAAGAAAATATTAAAAAATAAATAGGGATCATATATGTGAGCTTTAGGAGAGTGAAATGAGATGTTTCGTTAAGGATTTATAAAAATATATAGGTAGTGCAATAGCTTTTGGCAAACATGTAGTAAAAACCAAAAACTGAGGATAGCCACGTCTACCTCAGACTCTCAACAGAATATGTTATAAACACAGTGTAAGGAAGTAGAGAGATGGAATTCTTAGGATTTTAACCCAAAAGACAGACTCTCTGGCTCCATTCAGTTGGGGGTATTTTTCTGGTGGTCTCAATGAGAGCAAGGTGAGGTGTGGGCTTCTCTCAGGGAAGATGCAAGGAAGAATGTTGTCCTTGACTGCTGATAAAATATCAGTGACTGCAGTGGGTTTTCTATAAGCAGGAATGGAGCATCTTTGTGTTTCAAGAGCTGCTGGGAAGAGCTTTGCAAAGAGCACTGTCCCACCTGATGTCTCTTCTCCCGATCCTGGTGACACTCTGCTTAAGCTTTTGGCTGCTAACCAAAAGGTCAGCAGCTCAAACCCACCAGCCATTCCTCAGGAGAAAGGTGTGATTGTCTGCCTGCTTCTGTAAAGATTCCCATCAACCCAAACCCACTACCACTGAGGCATTTCCGACTCCTGGTGTGGCACTCTGGCTTAATGCGCTGGACAGCAAGGTTGGCGGTTCAAGTTCACCAGCCACTCCTTGGAAACCCTATGCAGGGTCGCTATGAGTCGGAACCTACTCGATGGCACTCAACAGCAAGTGGCCCTATAGGACAAAGCAGAACTGCTTCATAGGGTTTCCGAGGCTGTACGTCTTTACAGAAACAGACTGTCTTATCTTTCTCCTGCAGAGCAGCTGGTGGGTTCAAACCCGTTGAAAGCTCAATGCTTAACCCACTGTGCCACAGGTGCTCCTACTGTAAAGGTCAGAGCCTTGGAGACTTTATGGGATAGTTTTACTCTAAAGCCCTATATGGTTGGAATTGACTCAACAGCAACAGGTTTGGTTTGGTTTCATCTATCTTTTCACTTGCTCTTGTTAAGTGCCATCGAGTTAATTCTGACTCATAGTGACCCTAT